ATCAATCTCACCTTTCGGATGCTGTCGTTCGGTTTATCAACAATCTCAACTTCCTCCCAACCGGTGTTGAGTTTACCATAAGGACTTGGAGTTGGCCTCCAACGGAAGGCACGAGGGCTCTTAACGAGAACCCTACCCGCAGGCATTGCCTCTTTGTCCGCGATACAAGCCTCTCACGAGTCTCTCGTCTACGAATCCAACTCATAAAGCTTATACACCCCTCTGCGTTGTCTTGTATACTACGTGATCGCTACACATTCCTTCGCGCAGTTCCTCACTTCGTTACAACACCCAATGGTCCTGCGGCGAAATGTGGGTCTAATACGCGGTATTTGCTACGCCGGTAGTCAACATGAGGTAAGTTAGAGATAAGAACGGGGGCTGGAGGTGTCGGGCGAGTAAGCAGGATTGACAAGGACGAATACCTCTCAGAAATCTACTTCGCGATTAAGGCCTCCAATTCAGCGAGTGAGACAATCACATTCGCGGATAGAGCGCGAAGGCCGAAATGTTAGCGGTAGCCGTCAAAAAGGGGAATCACTTTCGCGAATAAGGACATCAATTCCATAGTGAAGGGAAGCAATTTTACGACCGAAGACATCAATTTCGGGTTGCAGTTTCGATGACGCAGCTTTAGGAGATGGGGTTTACACTGTGCAGCCCGACAACTCATCTCTGAAGGTTAACGCAATCTCACAGTGTGAAATTTATACGCCGTGTTGAACTCGGAATCCATAAACCACATTAGATTGTGTGATCTGCAGAAAATCATCTGCTACTTCGTTGAGTAATCCCATTCTAACTCTAGTTCTACTTGAGTTATCCGGTTCACGCTAGTATCACATTGTAATCACTATTGCCTCATCTAATCGTGTTACAAGCTACACGGGATGTTACTCAGATCTGGAACGAAATTATCTACTTTTGATCGCTGTGTTTTCTCTCAAGATCCAACAGGTTTAACTCCCTCTACACCTCCGTTTAACGACGCGATTGTACCACTTGGAACCACATCTACTCTAACGACCACTACTGGTTTCTTCTAGTTCTCCCTTAAGTCGTCCCGTACATCAAAGAACCTCGAGAAGTGACGCTGGGAGTGAGCGCTCAGTCACCGCTTCCAAGCCCCTTCAAATTTAGTATTCTGCAAATTAACTGTATTGAGGGAGATTTGCTTGCGAGCATTCTAATTTATCGACTCCCCGGCGACAAATTGTTACGGGAACAACGAACTCTGTTGAACCTAGTACAAGGGCCAACTTGGGCCGACCTAGAACCGAGAAACAAGAAACTACTGCTTTGCCAAGAAAGACTGGAAAGTTTGTTCTCAACAACTAATCTTTCGAGCTTAAAATCTTGCGACCTTGGTTGTAGAGGTGGGCACCCGGCGATTTTCTACACCTTTTCAATCTCAAATTCAACAATTGAAAGAACAAATTAGGTGAATGAAATTTGATTTTCGACAAGTGAAAGGTGTTTTTCGTGAAATGAAAGTTCAAATTCGAAATGAAAGTTCGATTTTCGTAGACCGGTTGAAAATGAAAGTTCAAATTCGTAAATGAAATTTATGAATTCGGAAACGCAAGTTCAAATTCGTCGAACACAAGACCAATTTCGACCAATGAAAGCTCACTTTCATTCGATGGAAGGAAATTCTCGTCAGCGTCGTGCCACGGATTGTGACTTGCGACTAGCAAATTTCGAGTGCTGATGGTGCTCTACGGACTGCGCTGTAATGCTGAACAGTTAAGTGCAATCCACAAATTTGCAATGTAGGACTTTCAGAGATTCAAACCTGGACATTGTTCGGGTTTGATTCTCCAATGGAGAATCTCCATTGCCCTTCCGATGACATCGGAAGGATAATGGGGTCGGCACATGTTCGGTTGGGTTTCCGAACCGACCAACCAGAGTCCGGTTGGGCGGTTCGGGAGTCCGATTACCGGACTATCCGAACCGAACTTTGATCGACCGACCGAATACCGATTCGGTATTCGGTTTCCCCGGTGACCCAACATTGAACGTTCCAGAGAACATTACTCGTGAATCTCACTCTGTGCAATAACTGTTCGCATTTGAGAAGTACTTCGAGCAGTCCTCGCACATTGTGCGAGTCGTCAACTCGTGGAGTGTGAATAGCGCATATCGAGATGTGGTGAAAGTGAGCTTTCATTGGCCGAAATTGGTCTTGTGTTCGACGAATTTGAACTTGCGTTTCCGAATTCATAAATTTCATTTACGAATTTGGACTTTCATTTTCAACCGGTCTACGAAAATCGAACTTTCATTCCGAATTTGAACTTTCATTTCACGAAAAACACCTTCCACTTGTCGAAAATCAAACTTCATTGAATTGAACTTCGGTGAATGAAGTTCATTCACCTAATTTGTTCTTTCAATTGTTGAATTTGAGATTGAAAAGGTGTAGTCGCCCGGCCCGGCCCGGCCCGGCAGCCTTTGACCCCGCTTCCCCGGCCCGGCCCCGGTGACCCGGCAGTCTTTTCTTACCCATGTTCTGGGTTTAGCGGGCCCGCCGGGTTGGCCGGGTAACCCGGCCCGGATTGCCAGACAGGAAGGCTTTCGGACATGATCGACGATAAGAACTTCTTATCAAGAAGAACCAGTATCAGGGCTGCATGGATCAAACAATATTCCAATGTGCCAAGTCACGCGATTGGAACGCGAAGTGCGAGTTAATTTCCAGCAATCGCGGCGATTCCTGGAAGCTAACGCGTAATTCCGCGCTACGTACAATTGAAAGCACTATTAATGGCTTGAAATATCTGCGCTGCGGGGCTTCCGGGTGACCCGCAGACAGTTGCGGGTCATTTTTCGCCCGCTCACCCGCATGAACCCGACAACACCGGCGGGGAAGCCGGGTTTGTGACTTTGACCCGGCCCGGCCCGGCTCGTTCCGGGTCGCCGGGACCGGGCAAGGGTGCCCATGTCTACTTGGTTGAGATTTAGCATGCTCATGGTTTCGACATGGATCAGTCAGTCTCAAGCTCGGATACGGAGCTTGAGATGAATCCGATCTATGTGGGATGAAACGAAAAGCTGCACGAACTGTGAAACGCACTCATTGATAGTACTAAAGACAACTGTGATACTACTCTTCCGAGCTTAGTTGGTATGCGTCTCAGTGTACTATATGATGTAATCATTCCCGGTCGTAAACGACCGCAAAAGCGTTATTATAGGGGTACGGTTGTTGCTGTTCGTGCCTCCGGTGATGTTGATATCGAGTGGGATGATATCCATAGTGAAATTTCTACTCTTGACTTATCCTCGGCTACTTATCACATCGTGCGCTGATCAGGGGCGCCCGCTTGTTCTTGATCGATACGCGAGCCCCTACGCGATGTGCGTACGTGCGTAGTTAACCAGATCCTTTGTTGGATAACTCCGTAGCCATCTTGGCTCAAGTTTCGTTTGTTAATCCTATTATGGCGACACCTGGGAGATCTCCCCCTCCCCCCGCTACCACCGTCATATCTACTGATCATCAATCTGATCTACAAAGGCTTCGTCGTGAGCTTGCCAGGGCTCGCCGCTGCCTAGCCCAAGTTCGTGAAGACCTTAATAATGTGATCGACGACGGTTCGGACGACAACTCGCAGGTTCTGGACGACTTACAAGGGCGCGAATCTGCCGCCCTGGCCCGTATCCCTGAGATCGAGACTAGCATGGCTGAGGCTCAGGCTACCATCGACGCTGAGCTCAGTGATCTGGCCCGTCAAGCAGGATTGTCACGTGCAATCCAAGCTCGTTTGAGCATCGAGGATCAGAATACGACTTCTTCACCTCCAAACGATCGTGAGGGAGTCCTTGAGTCCCCCCAATATGTGAGCTTCACCCCGAGCCGGGCCGGTAACGTGATCGATTCGGTCCCTAGAGTGGATGAACGCCCACCTACAACGTTGGCTGACCTGAACCGATTGCCCGTACCTGAAGTGCAGTCTGGTCCTCACGTAGCTTCTCATGTTTCCCTTGTAGAAAATCTGTTCGTGGAGACTGGTGCTGGACAGTTCAGCGGCTCCGGTTCGTTCGTCCCGCACGCGAAGTTTAAGCTTACCTGCTTTACAAAGTTAGCGACGAGTCTGAAGCCATGCCCTGCAGCATTGGCTGTCGCTCATGAGGTGGCAAGGACAACGAGGTATGATTGGGCTTCTATTCGTCATGAACTCTGGCAGCAGTTCTCTCGTAAGGACCAGCTGAGGGACGAGTACCGTTCGGCTCTCCAGTCCTTGAAGTTCGGGGGCTTGGAGCACGCGGATGACTTCCTTCGGAAATGCTCGGCACTCTACCATCTTTATCAAGACGTTTATAAGGATGAGGCCTCCGAGAGAAGGGTTATGGTTCGCGCGGTTGTCAATAAGTTGCCTGAGAATCTACGCTTGGATGTGATCGAGTCCGTCCACCACTCCATCGGTGTGTCGCGTGACACCGAATGTACCACCTCTGAGGATCTGGAGTGGGAGCTCCTTTTGCCCTTCGATGGCGTTCGTGTGGGACCGACTGTAGTGAGGTGCATAAGGAAGAGCTGTCGTGTCTTCCGTGATGCTTCGATTAAGCTTACTCCACAGTCAAGTTCTTCAAAGGCGTCTGAGAAGGAGGCTGCACGCACAACTTTGCACACGCGTGCCGCCATTGACACTCTCTCCCAATTACACGACGGGAACCCCAAGCATAAGAGAGAGAATCTGTCAAAGTGGGCTTCTAAGTTTGCGGCTGTCTATGTGATCGGTGGGCCTGGGGTACAAGGCCCCTCTGATAAAGTGGTTCGCTCGGATGAGTCTAAGACAATCTCACTTCGTTCGGGAAAAGGACAGCTGTGGTTCGTGGCCTACAACAACAAGACTGAAGGTCTCAATGCTGTTAAAGAGATTGAAAGTGATCAGTTTCGAATCAGACCCTTCCAATTCCGAGGGCGCCAAGTCGCTGCCGGAGCTAATGCTTCCTCGGAGACGGGAAACTAGACCGGTCGGCCGAAGATATTTGTGAGACTATTCTTCGAGTCGACCATTCCGATGATTATGCTGGTGTCTCACATGAACTCGATCTTGTCGAGGATGTACCCTTGTCTACTTTTGATTCTCTGCTCTTTTTAAAGTCTAAGCGCCATCCGCCTGAAGTTATTATACGCGGGAAGGTCACTTCCCCCTCGGATGTGCGTTCTACCCTGCCCACACCGGTCTTTATTGATTCGGGGGCCGGTCTTAGCTATCTTTTGTTGTCGGACTCGTCAGATCTGTGCTGCGTCCCTGGCTCTCCGTTCGAGAAGTGTGAAGCAGATTTGAGCTCTGTTCGCCTTGCTGATGGTTCTAGGCGTGAAGTGTCCGCCGTCGTGGAAACCATCCTTGGATTGTTCCCGCATGATTGTGCTGATCCTCTTGTCCTGGGCGGGGTTCGTATCCGACTCCGTGTTTTGGTTGTGAAATCTTTCTGGAGAGGTTCTTCTACTTGGTGTGTACTTGCGGGTCGAAATCTACTGTCCTACTGGCAACTCGAGATTCGTGGTTCGTCTTATGCTGCCGTTCGTGGGGTCTGCGTATATCAGAACGCTGTGAGAGATCCTTCCTACCCGTCGAGTGACGACCTGAGTATCTTGCAAGTGCTTCCTGAAGGCAGTGAACCTCCTGATTTGAACCTACCTGGTGTTCGTGTACAGCCCTCTTGTGACGATTCTGTTGATCTTGGCTTCCCTATCCCGTTGGGTACCAAGACTATTAGCCGTGTGATGGACGTTCTGAATGCCCTTTGTGACGAGGGATGGGCTCCTCTGTTGAAATGTCCTGGCGATCGTCTCTCCGTTCGATTACGTGAGCTGTTACCAGTTGAGGTTCGTGACACTCTCCAACAATGTTACACATTTGAAATCAAGTTTGCTGGTTTTGAAAGTGGTTCCGTGCGCGAAACGCGGAACTATGCTGGTGCTCTGTACGATCGTTTATCCGCTGAAAATCGAAAAGCGTACTTTGATCTTATCGAGGACTACGTGAAACGTTCTTGGTGGGTTCGAGCTCCGTCGGTAGTACCGACTATTTCTTCCATGTCTCCAGTCATACCTGTGTTCATAGTCGGTCCTTCGATGAACAGGAAGCCACGGTTGGTGTTGGACTGCCGAGAACTGAATCGCGGTCTCCCTAAGGCCAGTAGTGAGGCGCCTGATGCCTTTGTAGTTATAGGCTGTCTGCGGTGGCAGTCCCCACCAGTGATGGCGACTGTCGATGCTAAGCAAGCCTTCTATCGGGTTCGGTTGGAGAATTTAATTCTACAGCTAGGTGCTGCTACTTCCACGTATTGGAGTTCGCGTATGTGTTTTGGTCTGGTCTTTGGTCCCTGTGGTCTCTTGAGCTCGTTCGGCAAGCTGGTTGCAGCCATATCTTGTCTTTTCATGGTATGTCTCTGGAGCTTGTTTGTCGACGACTTCGTCATCGGCGGTAGTTCTGATGCTGTTATTAATAATGTGAAGGTTTTGCTCTTCGCCATGTTTACGTGTGGCTTTGGCGTCCAGCTTGCAAAGCTCCGGTTCATTTGTTGTGCTTCTGTGCGTGACGCCGTGACTTGGCTCCTGTCTTCTCTCGGTGTTCCTATCTCTGAGAAGCTTCCCGTGCTCGGAGTTAACTTCTATTATATTGATGATAACTTGGTTCTGTCGTGTGATAGATCGTCTCGACTCCAATCGGTGCGTGACTTTGTGGTTTCTGATACCTCGTTCGAGACTTCCAAGTCTGAGATTTACTCCATCTGTGGAAAAATCGGTTTTGATCCCGCAAAGTGTCACCCTGATTGCCGAGCAGCTGCTGATGCTATGCGTGCTTTGATTGGTAAAGCTTTCAACAAAGAGCCCTGGTCTGAGAGAATTAACCTTGTTACCTCAATGACTACAGCTCAGTTCGCGGTTTTCACTGCTCTTCTGACGTGGATGCGTGAACTCACTGATAATTGTGATTGTTCTCATACTTCTCCCTGTTCGTCGTCATCTGAGCCGATCTCTGCTCTAACATTGGCGTGCGATGCTTCCCGATCGGGCGGAGGATTTTTGATTGTGTCTTCCACCGAGGGGGGCGGAGATAAGAGCGATGATTTCGATATATCTTCTAGCCCTGTGATCTGTAGTGAAGCGTTTCGTTGGTCTAAACGCCAGCGTCTGTACCACTCAAATAGGAGAGAATTGATGACTCTTCTGTTGGGTCTGCGAACTTTGAGTAAACTCCTGGCTCACCACGTTGAGCACTGTGTCTGTCGTGAGCCTTTATCGATTTCGGTTCGCTCGGACAATCGTGCTTGTATAGCTTGGTCAGCACAAGACGCCTCTAGTTTGTTCATGCGGAGTAAGGCCGTTGAGAAGCGCGCTATTGGCCGTCTTATCCTCGCTATTGCGGATGAGATCAAGTTTTTGAGGCGCCATGCTTCAGTTTCCGTTCTGCATGTTGAGGGTTCGCTGAATCTTGAGGCGGATCGCCTGTCACGTTTGTTCGATCGTCCAATTGGCAATGGTCTATCACTGGCGGACGCGCTAGCAGGCGACGTTGAGTCTGAAGAGATTTTCTGGCCTACGGATGATGATGAAGAAACCAAGGACTTGTTATGCATTTTGATCGACGACTTCAGCGATGACTCTGCAAGGTCGGCTTTGGACCGTTCGCGGTTGTTCTCTGAGTTGGAGCTCGAGAATGTGGCCTCTGATCTCGGTGCTGACTTGATCGCTCTTTTTCCTTCTGAAGTATCTTCTTCATCTTTCGCTGACCAGATATCTCATCAGTGCTATGACTTGTCCCAAGTATTTCATACCGTTAAGGCTCTTAGATTTATCTTGAGAGTACTGAAGGCCAACTGTAAAGGACGTGAGGCTTTGGAGGAACTCGAGTATCCAAGTCTTCCTAATGACCGTGATATTCGCGCTTTGGTTCATTCCGCACAACAGTCCGATGACATCTGTTCGAGACTAATTCGAGAGAGCCCCACTCCTTCTGGTCCCTATGTTCAGGACAACAATCTGGTAGTCTTCCGGTCTGGTACTCCGTTTGGATTCGAGCTGCGACAGTTCGTGATACCTAAGTCTTCTGTCGCTCTTCGTGAGAAAATTTTGCTCGAAGCTCATCGTCGTTGTGGACATCAAGGTCTGCGACCATCTCTGTCTTACGTTGAGGACTTCCATTTGCCTTCGGGCACGAGTCAGATGAGAGATCTTCTTCGCTTATGCGTTGTCTGTCGAACGTTGAGAGCTCGTCGTTATTGGAATGCTCTTCCTTCCGTTCGTACCGACGTTGTAGAATTGAACACGAAGTGTCCGTATTATAAGGTCGCTATTGATTATTATGCTGTCGGCGACAAGATTAAATTGTTGTCTGCTATGTGTTGCTTCTCGAAGCACATCTCCTTCTTTCGAGTGGAATCGGAGACTTCGGAAGAAGCTCTAAGAGTGTTGAAGATTCTCCAACTCCGCACAGGGGGTGTTCGTATCATTCGTAGCGATCGAGCGTCGTATTTCCGTTCTGTGTCGAACTTCATCGATCGCGCTGCTACTTTGTTGAATGCATCCGTGGAGCTTACATCTAGTCGTTCGCCATGGGAGCTCGGTTCTGAAAAGCTGCATGATATCGCAGGAGATCGCTTGAGAGTTCTCTTGTGGAGTTCTGCTGGCCGATGGCCTGATGATTCCGTTCGTGAGCAACAACTTCTCGAGGAGCTCATGCTTCTGATGAATACGAGACCATTGGGTACTTATTATGTGAGCGAGAACGGCTCGGACGTGATCACCCCTGATGCTTTATGTTATGGTCGTACTCGTCGACTCGGTTGTCTGTATTCCGGTTCGACTATGGACGATGCTGAGTTTGCTACTAACTTCGCGCCATACCGCGTCAAAGCGTTCCGCAACGCCTTTGTGTCTTGGCTCTGGAGTGAGTTAAAGAAGCACTCGTGCTCTTCGGTTCGCGCTAAGTCCCACGGTGTCACCCCCGCTGAGTTCGCTCCTGGCGATGCCGTACTAGTCTACATGTGTGGTAGAAAACTTGGTATGTCCTTTCGTCTTGGTCATGTTATCGAACTGGTATCTGGCCGTCGAGTCCGAGTTCGATTCCCTTCCGGTTTGATCACCCTGGAGAATCTGTATAACATCGTTCTTTTGCGAGCGCACTCTCACATTAGCCCCGAGCAGTCTAATGTTAGTCGAGTTGGTATGCCTATTGTGCTGGGCTCTGGTTCGTGTGAGCGTGAAGCCGAGATTTGCTTTGATCCCTGTAACTATTCAGGTGAGGTTTGGGTCAAGCTCACGAACGGTGATGCGCCTGAGATTGTTGACCTGTCCTCTGCTGTGTGGCGACCCGGGTCGCTCTCATCGACCGACTCGGATCACCAAGGGGGGCGTGATAGTACTAAAGACAACTGTGATACTACTCTTCCGAGCTTAGTTGGTATGCGTCTCAGTGTACTATATGATGTAATCATTCCCGGTCGTAAACGACCGCAAAAGCGTTATTATAGGGGTACGGTTGTTGCTGTTCGTGCCTCCGGTGATGTTGATATCGAGTGGGATGATATCCATAGTGAAATTTCTACTCTTGACTTATCCTCGGCTACTTATCACATCGTGCGCTGATCAGGGGCGCCCGCTTGTTCTTGATCGATACGCGAGCCCCTGCGCGATGTGCGTACGTGCGTAGTTAACCAGATCCTTTGTTGGATAACTCCGTAGCCATCTTGGCTCAAGTTTCGTTTGTTAATCCTATTACATCAAACGCCATAGTGAGCATATACTAATTTCCGATACCGCTCCTTTTCCTCATCGTCAGCCCAACAATGGTCGAAGGCGATCGTAACCATACTTCCAACTTTGTGGGCATCAAAATGGAGACGATCCACCAAGATGGACAGTTCTCTCGTGAGATCGGTGGAGAAGACCGGACCGCCATCAGTGCTGATGCTGACACTAAGACCATCCTCAATGAACCTCTTGATGGGATGCTTGTTCCAGTCTAAACTGTCCAGGGTTGGCTTCTCTGGATGCACTTGGGGTAGACAGACGGCCTCCGTGTCCAATAGGCGGTATTGGGTATGCGGCATAAGTTATGCCGCAGAGCCTGGTGAACCTCGACTACAGGCATAGCCTATGCCTGTAGTCAACGTGAGAGAAGTCAGGGCCTCGAACACACTTAGAGATATAGTTAAGCCACGTTGGCTTCAATCGCGAAAATGATTTCTGAAAGGTGTACCAGTCACTATGTTGCCCCCTTTTGACCGGAAAGTTGGTCTGAGTGCAAGTGAGATGTGAGGGGTCAGTGAGTGTACCCAACTGCCTCTCGACGTCGTGGAGAAACAAGCGCTTTGCACAGCGCATGAACACATGTTTGCACGACATGCTCGTTGGGAGACCGCCCTCAATGGCAACTAGGATGATGTTGGCAGCGCCGTGAAAGGCGGTTGAGTCGTCCGGCCGAGGATGCTCTGATCCAACAGGTTTTTGACTACAGTAATGATGACCCACCAAGTGATGTAATGTCTACCAAGTTGGAATTTTCGCTCTCCCGACTGAACAGAACTCGATGCCATGAATATCCTATCTCAAGCTACTAATCGCTACGAAATCAACTATCCATAACGATGTATGTATGAACAAGCGAAGGAAAGGCAACGCTTCACAGACCATATGCACGCTTGAGGACTATGGAGCGTCCTCAATCTCATCAGAGATTCTGTCACAATTTGTTCGAAGAATCATCATCAGGGCACGCTTCACCCGGTGCAAATAACTAATGCGATGCGGTGAAGTTCACCGCATCGCATTAGTTATTTGGGAGTGTTGGGTGAGACTGAGTGTTAGCCAACTAGGCAGCAGAGGGCGGTGATGATACCGAACCTCACAACACGCCGTGCATTGGCTCAACACCACAGTCACATTGCCTAGCACGCAGGCACATAGGCAATGTCCCCCAAACAACTAGTAAAGGTAAAAGAAAAATTCCAGGGTAGAACCGGCTCGAGATGCTCCTGGACAACCAGATTGCTGTCACTTCAGTCTCGACCGGTTGCACCACTTTCTGGTGTGAGAACCAAGATAACTCTCTTGCTATCTTGCTCTCTCTCGTAGTGGTTCACTATCATTCAATACCACTCAGTTCTCATACACTCACTATGATGATTCTTGCATTCTTTATATCCTGTATATCTCTCACTCGCCCCAGTGAAACGAATAGATGCGTTTCACGGCATACTGCACCCCACACACTACGACTATCGTGGTTATTAATCTGTTATCATTCACTCATCATGGCTTCGGGTTCATCAAACGGATCAGGGTCACCACAGAGCCACAACACTGGTTCTGAAGTCGATCACAATGGCGTGCGCTACGCACGTACGAGCGATACTTGTTATGCTTGCTTGAATTTGCCCCATGCAAGCCTGGACCTTCACAAAATCCAGCTGCCGCGGCTAAGCTCCGACAATGGGAAGGCGAGCTGTGAAGCAGGGAGCCGCTCGGCCGGTTCGACTGCACGAAGCCGCAGAACTAGCCGAGATTGCTGCGCAATATTGTTCTCGTTCGAAGGCTAGTCGAACGATTCGCGAACGTGTTCCTCGTGTTGTGTGTTTCTGCAGCTACTGGGTGGGAGACGTTTGTGAAACCGCGACCAGTAGCTCAGATGCCCGACCATGCTCAAACCACAGGCACTGACGGCTCGGAGGTATCAGTGGTGGTGTTTCTGAGGGTCAAAAGTTACCGTCGACAATTTGGAAAATTTTGTACTCTCATTTTTGGTTTGAGCTGACCCTCGGCTTCTCACAGGTTGAGGTTGAACCTTCCCACGGTGGTTGAAGCTGAGTCAGGTCGAAAAGTCTCCGGTTTGGGGTCTTCCCTAGGTGGTTTGGGAGGGAAAAAAACCGTGAAGAGCAAGCCCTTGCTTGTCTCTTGAGCCAAGCTGACAGATACGAGTTTCTGTCAGCTTGCTCAACATACATTTGATTATGTTGCACCCGCTGCAATGGTTGATCGATTTCAAGCTATGCACGAAAAAACAATTGTGTTCTGGAGCGGCGCACTTCTGCTCTCCGCCCGGAGTCGGAGCTTGCTCGGCGTGGATTTTGACCGGTCAAACCTGTTTCACCACCAGTCCTTTTGTGACTGGAGGTTCCATGATTGACCTTGCACACAATAGTGTTGGAATTTGTAGAACTGCAAAACTCGATGCCATGATGGTCTCAATGAACTCTGACTAAAGAAGAAAAATATACAATTCACGGGTTATGTGCGCGCGTGCGGACTATGGAGCATCCTCAATCTCTCCCAAATAGTATCGTCACAATACTGGTCGAAACTATTCTGAATAATAACTTTAACGATCTTAACCGAAGAAAAGAAATTGCTCAAGCAGATGATGATGCTAACTTGCTGAGTCCGACTCTATCCGGCTCAAACTGAAAATAGTTCCCAATGAGCATACGATCGGGGAATGTGATGATATTTTCCGCGTTTCCTCTCTCAACGACGAGGTAACACGTACCGTAGTAATTCTCGGCGTAGTTCATGTAAGTTATCGTGAAGTGGACCGGTGCCCCTTTAGATCCCAGCCCAAATCTTAAAGGTGGTAATTTGGCCAAGTACTCACAAGGCATCAGCCAAATGTCTCCATCGGGCTCGAAGTGAACATCCACGCCTGCGGCATTGCTAGTGTGAGCTTTGATTTCCTTCATTAATCGGTCGTAGTGAGCTTCTGGGATAGAGAAATAGTTGGCTCCAGTGTCAAGGCGGACGTCCATATTAACTTCGATAGTACTGGAAGCATCACCAACTTGTAGATCAACAGCATTCACATAATAGTGACTTTCCGAAGTGAGCTTGACATACTGTAGTGGATGCTGATATAACGCAGGATCACCCCCACCCAGAAGTAGAGCGCCTTCAGTTGAGGGGTCTTCGTGATCGGCGGGTGGAAACAAGTAGATAGCAAAGATGTTGTTATTTATAGTTTGTGATGATTGCAACTGCTTCATCAAAGATGGGAAGTTCACATCTCCCTTATCTTTATGAAAACCCATCACACTGATCGCAGCTTCTTCAGCGACGGGAGGTTCCTGGTCAAAAGTCAGTCCGAAAATGAAGGCTTGCGACACCGGGCCGAGGGTTAGTGTCGCCTTATGCTGAAAATACTTTACCATTTGATCGTCCTCGAAGATAACAGTTTTCGTCACTGCACCCGGAGAACAAGGCTCCAAGCATTTGTAACATCCCATGGGCCAATTGAGGCAGGGGACTTCACTCACTCGATCGAACCAGTCCTTCCAGTTGAGGAAGAAGGAATCTGACCCAGTGTCAACGAGAGCATAAATCTTCTGACCTCCTTCGGCGAGCAGAATATGGAACAAGCCATTACCGTAAGGAGGCATCAATGTAGAGCGCACGTCGAGCTTGAGAACCGCTCCTCGAACAACTTCTAATTTGGCGAATATATTAATGAGAGTGAGTAGTTGGATCAGCATACGGGAAGCGGCTTGTGCAACTGTAAGGGATAATCTATACTGTGGCGACCTTGAAGTCAAATGTAGTCCTTCCCGGTCACAGCTTTCGCCCATCAGAAGAACTGGAGTTATCTAGTACGAGATAAGATCGCGGAGCGAGTGACGCGAGCGGAACGTATATTGCAACAGATGTTACTCACGTTTCACGTGTGAGTAATGAAAGCTATCTGTGGAGGGAGGGAAGCCATTTCCCTGGTTAGAACCAGAGTCAGTCCCCATTAAGTCATTGGTACCCGTATCCTCACCCGGCTTCATCCATGCCCCCGATGCCCAACTGAAGAGACTTGACGCTTGTCAAGATCGTTTCATCGAGCTTACTGGATGTACGCTACCTAGCCTGGCGTGGCGCCAATTTGTGGGGATGATGTCCTGGCTCTATAAAGTAGTAGTCCTCAGAGATGGCCCTCCATATCTAGTGTCGCGTTTTATACTAGTAGACAATCATTCCTGCGTTACTCGTAGCCCCATGTAGTCGTCTTTCCTCAGTTCTGACTTCGGAACGCGACATAGGGAGTCGGTAGGCCGAGTAAAGAGGGGCCTCGCGTTAGCTGACGTGAATGAAGGCCGTTAGCTATATTGGAGGAATCGGATCCGTTGCCGGCCATATAGGGAACGCAAGGGTAGCCGATGGATCAAACTCGAACTATCTTGAATACGGATAAGTCTAGACTAGAGAAATGAAATGATAAGACCGATAGTCTAGTTCACTTGACTACAATGAATGCCATGCACGCATGCTCATGTTCCTTACTGGAACAAGGCGATGCACAATGCGTGGCGCACAACTGCTTGTCTACGAATAGACAGTCAGGGAAAATCAGGAGCCCTCATCATCGACTCCTACAACACTATATGGGTGAATCGATCAACTTTGTCTACTGCGCACAATCATGCTGTCTCGAATTCAATGGTTCCACCACACGCCCCCCTCGCAGGAGTTAGAAACCTGCGGGCATGGGTGGCTTAAGACGAGAATCGAGCTTTTCTAAGGCAGTAGACGAAATGTATTTCAGATATTTCAAATGTACAATACGCTTCCGTAAATCAGGCATTAATATACGATAAAATTTATCGGATAAATGAGGGGTGATAACTGATTAAGAATGCGAACGACAAGATATGGCCGTTCGTGCCTCCTGCCTCTTGGCATCTTCCGCATCAACCACAAATCACCTTTGGTGGGTAGGGAGCGGTTGGGAGAGGCTGGGGGCTCAGTCGGAGATCTTGCTCCAGGCCTAAATCGTGACGAGAGTCTTGGAAAAATCCAAGGCTCATACGTGAATATAGTTTCATGTGGGGACTATGTTGTCGACCGCTTATCGCAGTGTTAAACAGCTGAGTGGCGCGGACTACAAGCTGTTTGAATGTAGGGAATGATAACTCGGTCGGATCGCGCGACAACGAATTCTTTCGTTGATGATGCGAAACATACGTTCGCATTTGCCGTTGCACCAAGAACTGGAGACTGGGGAACAAACGTGCCGACAGGACACACGCTTCATCGCATCTGCGAACGCAGTAGAAATGAATTGCGATCCATTATCGGTATGAATGCCCTCAGGTGAAGTGTTGAATGTTGCATCCACTACCCTGAACAGTGCTAAACAGTCCTCGGTCGATGGCGTATACAAGACTGTCCGAGTTATCGTGTAAGAGCTCCAATTGTCCACTAGGGCAATCACTTACATTGTCTCCATGGCTTTATGAAATGGACCACTGATATCCATGTGAATTATCTGCTATGGACGTTGAGCTCTCAGTTCGCATTGGCCGAACGCTAAGCCAAGCTGGGCTGGGGCGGATCGAGTGACCTTGCCCGTAGCACAGACATCGCAACTCGCTACAAACTCGTTGCAGTGTTGCTTGAGGGATGGGCAACGAACAATGCGTCGCATACGCTCATACAGACTCTGTATTACAGAGACTTCGCTCTCTCATGTTCATGCAACATGGTTGCTACATACTTCAGTTCTGATCGCCACGACATGATCAGTCTACCATGTTCGTCTCGTTCGTCTGATGAAGTAGTGGACGAACTGGACTGAATCAGTGCTGCTATAGTTTCATCATAAGTCTCATCTTCACTGTGGGAAGATGGAGGGATACAATACTGCGGTATCCGACTTAACTGGTCTGCCAGATTGCTCTCGCTAGGGATAAGCTCTACTGTGAGGGTAACTCTCAATGCGGTGCAAGTATCCTGGAAGGTCTCAAGACGACTTTCCACCAGGCTTGCATTGAGACCGTGAACGGCTCTCCAGTGGCGTTCTTGGTGGCGTGTAATCCAAACCACAACAGAAGGGTCCTACTTACTCAACGAACGTTGGATTTTCACGATTGGATGAACAGTACTGAAATTATCAACGATGGGTTGAAGTAGTGAGTGTTTGTCCAACGGTAAGGCCCTACTTTTTCAACACCTTGGCTTTCCTTTCGGGCTTTATCCACAGGCACATTTCAAGAGCAATTCGTTGAGCGTGTTGTTTCAGACTTGATTCAGATGAGTACTATGCAGTGCATAGTACTCATCTGAATCAGCGTTGGACAATCAGTGTTAAAAGTCGTGCATGGTATGCACGACTTTGAACGCTTGTGCAATACTTCGAATAAAATGTGAATCCAACAAATCATATCCAAGGCTGTTTTTAAAGCAGTGCTTCAAACTAAAGCCTTTAATGCTACTAACTATATGATTCACGGAATTTGAGACCTCATGTTCATATATCACCACGACAATATCCCGTTGGGACTTTGAGACGCAACATCTATAGTATTAAGAAACTCTTGCTGATATCATAAACTTAAATCACGTCACACCGATCGTCACAGCTTGCGACTCACACTGTGAGTCTCACAGTATCGAGAGCAGTCCTCTGACTTTAATTACTACCTGAACGACGAGTAGAAATGAGGCTCACCGCCAAAAAACATAAGTTTGCTCACCCACTCGAGACGGTCATCGTTCTCTATTCCGTTTCGGCATCACTGCAACTGAATCTGTGGCGTTTCTCTTCAACCCTGGGCACCACGAAGACGGTCGCCCGGTCTTTCTGCTAGAGCCATCTGATATCAGAGTGCTTCTATTTGCAGCCGATTTTCTTCTAAGCCCTGGAGGTAATCCGCGACGAATATCGATGCTGGGGCTCGACAGTGAGGACGCTGCGCTCTCCTGTGTTCCTGCCGATTCCTGGGATGGTGCCGCTCGCGAAGATTGAGGGGATGTTGTGTGCGGAAGTGATAGTATAGACGATGTCGCTTGTGAAAACCCCTCCTCACTTGGTGCTTGAGAAGATGTGGCTTCCAGAACTGCATATCTCAAGGGTGATACCTGAGGCGATGATATTTCAAGACATAACGCTGGGGTAGCGATTGCGCTCTAATATTACTTGAGAAACCACGGAGCTTGTGTTACTGTCATCACTAGGAATTCCCCCACACACATTTTCCACCATCACGGTATGATAACATGCACCGAACTGCAAGTAGAGTGGACACGTACACGTGAGAATGAATTCGGGCGGGTCACCGGAGAACCCCGGAATTGCCCATCTCTTGATCTCGTAGATAGATAAGACTTTAGACACCCAGTCACGAAGGGACCAACTACATGAGTTAGGTCTCTTGACCCATTCATCAATATCAGCTGCAGTCAACTGCCGCTGATCCCGGTTTGAGCTGCTTACGAAGTAGTGCCCATCAGCATACATGTAAACTTCAGCCGGTGAACTTCTCGCAGCTGCTGCAGCTGCAGCCGATGGAAACGAACTTATTCTTGGCATGCTACTGTCGAGAAAGACTCCACGAGTTTTGGCACAATCAAGACTCCGACAAATGTCTTCGAAGAACCTCTTCACCTGAAGCAGCAATTATACAACCGACATAGTAGAGAAAAGGCCACCTCCGCGCCATTATTGAGCCTCTGCCCTCCCAACGATCCTCTTTTCAGTAACGAATTAAAACTTTCACAGATATTATTATCAAATGCTATATTCAATAGCATGTTGCGGTGGTGATTTTTTATATAAGGCGCCCCATATACGTCAACCCTCCCCGACGAAGAAAAGTAGCTTTTCACTCGGGATGTCAACTCAGCATTACCCTGGACGCTATTCAATAAACCACGATATGCATGGTCATCGGGACAACTCGATAACGCGTCAGCAATCGCCTTCGATTCCTGACGTTCTGCCTCTATCATCGATATTTTCCGGAGACTCTCAGCTCTATGCCATCGGCATCGATGTACATATATATCACCCAGAGCTCTTCTCGCCCCTTTAATAAGACCAGTTGAAGAATCACAGCATAGACCGGTGATGACTCCATTCCCGGTATTCTCAACGAGCTCTTTCACTGCTTCAAAGCAAGGTGCCACTGCGTCAGCGCTCTCATCCTTGACGAGGCTGACCACTAAAGGTATTAGCGAGACAACCGGATGACCATTGCCATTCAGTTCAATAGAAGCGATACCAATTACGAGGAATTGGGAGGAACAACCTCTGATTGCTGAAGCAAACCCATCTGCGTACAGTGTGATGCCAATGTGATGCTTCGTTATATTCTGTAGATTGAAAGCGGACACAACACTTGCACTGCAAGCGATACATACTGCGAAGTTATCCTCCCCAACTACGTACTTGAGCCTGATCATGGCTGGTTGAAGATGGTTACCACTCTCAAGTATTTCACGAGCCTCTGACCACATTGCAGGATCCCACTCATTATCAGATGTCGCACGAACAAAGTCATTGATCGTATCGAGACAAAGCGCCCGAACCTTCTTCTGGTGATTCCGCTTCAGATTCTCGCAGTACCGTTTCAGCTTCTGCCTCTGGGAAATCATATCCGGAGTTTCGGGAAGGGGACCATGTACACATATCGGAGCTAAAAACCGCTGATAGAGCTGTGTCGGAGTGAGCTTAAAGTAGGCCGCCTCCAGAGCCTCATGCATTTTCTGCTTCGTATAATCCGAGACTTTCACCGTCTTGAAACCACTGCCTGGATCACCACGGAGAACATGAGAATGATCGGCGGGATTCCGGAAAACGTTGACCTTGTAAGTCGGTGAAAGAGGTGGGGTAATGAGTATTACCCGTAGTTGTACTTTACAGTCCTTATGCTGAGTGCACCTCAAATTCCAGTACTCATCCGACAAAGGCATGTTCTTCCTAGCTTTCCTTGAATTAAGAAAAGAGAAAATGGCGCTGTGATCATCACCACACTGTGCAGATACTCGTTGACGCAAATCTTCGATATCTCTCAAGCTCTCAGGCTTTTCACCAGCAGCCAAAGTCAAACTTCCGACGAAGCTCCACCCCGATCCCCACCGATTACCATGATCGCCCTGATGATTTAAAGATGAAGATATGGTATACGACTACAATGCTCACCTGAGTAGTCTCAGGAACAGACGCTTCGTGACCTTGGAACTGCTCATCGTGATTACTTAGCTCTTCACCTTCGCTACCGCCTCGAGTTGTACACCATCTCCAGTCCCATTTCCACGAGTTATCATCCCAATACCACTCCCAGGAGTAGGAATGATCTTGATAACTATCGTGTTCCCAGGAGCTGCCATATTGATAGTACTGTGAGCTCCGAGGGCTGGGGCGACCATAATTCCAACTCGGTAGAGAGCTGATAGAAGAGTAGGAAGAGGTCATGATGTGATGGAAATGGCTGTAATCCTAATCAAAGATTCCAAGACTGAGTAGAACAACATTAATCTTCACACAAGAGGTAAACTGCAGGGTCGGCGCAACGGTATACAAGTGGGGAAAACGGGCCGCAAATTTCCCATTTCAGATAACAGGTGATCGGATTACCGTGATCCAAACAGCCACAAAATCCCATAGAGGACTCAATTCGACCGCCGCGGTTGTGCGACGATGTCGTGCTCAGTAAGGAAATCCAAGCTTGCCGAGATCAGTCAAGATTTGTCCGACTAATTTTGTCGTGGTATTTCCTGCGACTGCGTTGATTGAGCGTGGGGACATAGTGTACGTTCTTGTTATGGACGTCATGTACATAACAGTCGTATGGCCCGCAGTGCGGACTCCACACAAAAGCGCGAGCGTTGCCGACTCAGAAAGAAAAGGCGAAATCCCTCTCAACAGCAGGAATAATAGGTAGAGGGTATTGTCCGACCAGTAATAGCTGTAATGCAGTTGCAATCGAAACTACGAGCTCCTCAGAAAAAGAACTACAGGAAATTTACAGGTGGCCTTGAAACCCAAAATGGTTGCTGCTACATAAGTAGGATTTCAATTGCAACTTCAACTACACCGTTATCATAGAGTCCTATGCATATCTAGGTGCCGTCAGTAACAGTATGAGACCCATACTATGAGCGATTGGTCAACTCATGCAATGCATATTCGCTTGGCTCAGCCAAGCTCAGGAGTTTTCTCACTGATCATGGGATTTTACACACGACTCAGGGTAGAAGTGTTCAGAAAAAAAGTTAACTCTCAAAAATTCCCTGGGAATTATCAAATCATCACCGGCACATATAGTCGGCGATGTACATACTTTTAACAGCGTTTTGGCCACTATCCCGTAGTGCTCGGAGTGAACTTTGAATCAAATTGAACTATCGGACGTTGCCCCAGAAATTCTGGACCAGAATAGTCGTTGGGAGGTGTCCAGTCATGCAGGCGGAGCAGCCAGCAAGTGTTGGCCGAGTCACAAACATCAACGGAGGACCTCCACAGCGGAAACTCCGTTCGGGTCCAATGATTAGATAGATCATTGGACGATGACTGGCTGGAGCCCTACACCATATGGGTCACACTTGCATGTAATTGTAACTGTGACATCGAGAGAGCGACCAACGTACCCACTAATAGTGGGCCACTATTACTGTTGAACACTAACCTCATGGAAAGTTAACATTTCTGACTTTCTCAACGAATGGTTGAAAAATACATGTTGAAAATATCGAGTACTACAATAGAAACAACTACTAAAATGTTGATAAAAATAAACCTACATTCTCAACATCCGAGTGTTGAAAATGATCGGATTGAAATTGTGGTGGGAAAGTGTTGAGAAAAATCGATGTTGAGAAAATGGTTGTTGAAAAACTAGACGGTTTGTTGGAAAAACCCCTTTCCCCATCTTTACTAGCGTCAGTGTATACCACCCACTCCTGATTTGCATTATAGTTTCATATGCCTCCTGTGGGATCACCATGCTGGACTATATCGCTCATGAGCTTTTCGCATGCTGTGAGGATATGGCTATCTACTGGTGAATCCCACGAAAACTCTTTACTGGGGAGTCGTAGAGTCGCTAATCTCTCAAGCGAAGCCGCTGCGGGCCTTCCCCAACGAGCGATAGGATAATGTCCTATGAATTTGCCTGCCCATTTATGAATCTCACGCCGAGTACATGATCGGCAATCTAAGAGAGATAAATCGCCGGGTCGACGCCAAGTGCCATCTGGTTGGCATTCTAGTCCGAGGACTCTACTCTCTTTGAGAGGGGTAGGCCCTTTGCTGGGAAATCCGTGACGTAACAGAATATCTCCAATGGCTTGGGCCCATGATCGCTGTGTGATGATATCATCGACGTATATGTCGAAGATAACTGTCAGTGGGATGCACATTTGTCAAGTATCGTTTAGTATTAGAGCCAAAGTCTTTGGCGCTACATTGAGGCCAAATGGCATTCGCACTATTCGGTAAGCCGTATGTGGCTCCCAACGTAACCGGATTCCGAGCCAATAGGACTGATCTTCATCGATGAAGATACAGAGATACGCTTTTTTCAAGTCAATAATCACCAATTCATCCGGAGGCTCAACTGAGAAGGAGCGCCACCGTCTGAGATTCTCAATGCATGCCAATGGCGTATCTCGATGCTCATTGGGGGTACTACAGATTGCCTCGTTGGCCCATCGCATATCGCAACATGGCCGGACGGGTGTAGTACTCTTATGTAATTGCTCAACGCATAGCAATGGATGAGTTGCTTTCAACTCTTCTAATGGAGTTTCCTTTATGAAATCGGACTCCTTCCATTGCTGGATAGCAGCTTTAAAAAGCTCAATAATCTCTGGTGTCTTCCTGCTGAAGACATCATAATCTGGAGGCATGATGTGCTTGGGTGGTTCTGACGAGTTAACCCAATTCCAATGGAGCTCCCAAATGGCTCCTTCGTCAGATTCTGGGAGACCAAGTCGCCGAACTGTAACATCCGACGCGTGCAATTCACGTGTCACTGGTCTCCCATGATGCAGTGGGCGTTCAATTCCTACGTCACAGCCAATGTGACTGTCAATGGCATCACGGCCGTCAGTAACTTGAACCTCAATATGACACTTATATGTGTCCATGGTTAACAGAGTGTTATAACTCACAGAACAGAGATCATCGTGAGGCATCGTACTACGATGCCTCACGATGATCGTAGATGTCTCAGGATACCTCGGCTCGAGAAGGTCAATATTAGGCTGATTCCCTGAGAAGCGAATACTTATACCTCCAACTGCTTTTATCCAATCTAAACCGAGAATCCCGGCCAAAATGATTCTATCCGACGGTTCATTATTGGTATGTTGCCGACATACAGCAACTAACGGTTGGTCTGTGACTAAGACCTCCCTGTAGCAATGTGTGTACCGTCAAGCTCACTAGCAACGCTAGTCCACTTAGAGTGGGGTATAACATATGTACCACCTGTGCGTGCGTGCAATACCGAACAGCTATGGATAATCGATCAGTACTGCGCAAGATACTGTGCGCACACGACTACGCACAACAAAGGGTACTTAAGAATCACAAACTGTGGCAAACCACTCTATCAGAGCATTCGCCCTCCTGCCACAGAATGAAGAACTATAAAATTAAGCGAATAACTAGGACAAACCAGCTATCACGTACTCACTGCGGACTATCACGAGTCATGCGGCGCATGGCTCGCCTCAGGTCCTGCACATCAACTTCACCAGGCTTGCAGTGAGTCAGTCTCGAAACATGGACAACTTTGACTTCTTTATCACAAATAATCTTAGCCTTTCGAAATAGGCCGTAATCATCGTTAGGAGAAGTCGTCACCAAACCACGCGAGCTGCTGATGAATCCCAGGACTCTCCATCGCTTCTCGCTGAATGGCATATCCATAGTCTTAGTAATAATCTTATCATACTTATTCACTTGACGCATCCTCACTATGGCGCCAGGGAATAATTCATGATATGTACACGACTCGAGCTTTCTCTCAGCATCAGCGACGCACTTGGCAATCAATCGCTGCCATTCAACGTCGGTAGACTCGAGTTTCATCATCTCAGCAGGAATACGCTGGGTAACACTGTGGACCGTGTTATTGTAAGCTCTCATGACCTTGGCAACCGCCGACGCGATATCGAGCTCATTGTCATCCGCCATGACCGACCTTGTCCACATACGCACCGTGCGGTGCAGAGACTCCACCATACCGTTCGACTGACTTGACCTAGGCGCCGTAAAGACACGGGACACTCCAGGTAAGTCACAACTCAGAAAACCGGTCTGGTTGTCGGTCAGTAGAATCTTCGGTCTTTTGCCAAGAATCCGCCAGGATGCCTCAAACGCATCACGAATATGATCAGCGTCCTCGCCCTCCAGCTCGATGAGACAGGCAAACCGACAGACAGCGCATTGTTGACTCAGGTACGCCTTGGGCAAGTAAACAATATCAGCACTCACAACCGAGAATGGCTCAGCTTCAGAGAGGACAGATGAGCTGAATAGACTTATATCATGTTTGATGATGAGTGGCTGAGTACGCCTGTTGCAGATATCACATTTCTGCAACCACGCGGCGGTTTGGTCAATGATACCAGGAAACCACGCTATACTAGTAATAGCCTCAAAGGTTCGCCGCTGGCCCACATGGCACAACAATCCATGTACTGAATGAATGAGCTCTACTCTCATACCCTCGGGAATAACAGGAACACATACTTCCTTACCCTGGTATGGAGCAATGTACCGCCGCCGTAGGATGTCATACTCATCGATCTCGAGTTCTCGGTAGACTTGTTGTAAGTCTAGCTCAACATCTTCAGGTAACAACCGACCATGTTTCAAGGCCCGCCTGGCCTTGAACAGCTCATCATCATCATATTGCCCTTCAACGACTTCACCTAGGTTCAAGAACATCTCATCGTTCAAC